GACGAGACAGCAATGTGTCGTCAGCGAGTCGGGCAGGATTTTGTATGATGTATGGGGTCCTGTGTCACCAGGGATTTTCAAGATCTACTGCTGTCGCTTAGAACGATAAAAAGTTAAAAAAGAGATGAACGCAAAGAGTACATGGCGCTCATTAATTAGATATATATGTTACGGGAAAAGGACTTGATTTGTTCTTTTCCCGACAAGTATTGTTTTCTGTCAATATATTGTACTCTTTGTGGTACGTCTCGGGCACAGAATGATTAATCAAGTGGGTTGCCTTAACGACATAGTTTTTATGTATTCTCTGAATAACGATGCCTCATCGGAATGTACCAATTATCAAAACTGTACGGAACGCATATAAAACCGCCTCAATTTGTGAAGAACTGCATTTTTGTATGTTTACCACTGTTTTTACTCGACCATCGGGCCAGACTGACCACAGATAAAACACAGCACGCGTAGATGCCATCACGAGCTTCATCGTCTGCTCGGCGGAAACCCTCAGTTTGATGAGGTGTAGTGTGACGATAAATGGCGCCAAACACACTTGTATCGCGCGGAGTGGACAACGTATCTCATTAACCATGGTCTTTTATGTCTTGTTTTCTCAATGCCAAACCTGAAAACATACTAAGTTGTATGTTAATGTCATTAGCTATAAACTCCAGGCTAATATTTATTGAGTTTCTACTCCTGCCTGAAATGTCCTATAACTGTTCTATATTGCAGACAAGTACTTATCTAACCCTAGTCAGAAGTTACCCATCAGTCATACTCATAATATTTAGAAAAAAATATTTTATCCGACAGTTTGTCGCCCCATGATATCGTTTTCGTTGCTTTGAACCTATGGCCCCAAGGGGACGATTATGAAATGGCGACCATCCACGTCGTATTGTCGCGCCAGGGTCGGTCGCCTCTGGGTAGAATGGTCATCATCGGTATTGGAAGCGTATCATTGAAGTCGATCAGTCGCGCGCCGGGTCTTCAGATCTTTACCTGGAAACAAATCACCATAACTCACGTCATCATTAATCAATACCAATCAGACGACCATCTGTATTCATTTCCGGTGTGGCACCGGACGTAGGAACAGACGCGCGTCAATATGGCGTCAATTGTTCTCGCCGAAGGTAGTATTAATTGATTTCTTCCGAGGTTATAATCAAGGATGAAGTAATAATTGTAGATTTCTATTACAAGATAAAAGAAAATTTTGCCAAAACAATTTTCAGAGATGAAATTGACTGCTTATTAAGTAGAAGGTCGGCAGCCTCGGTAACGACAACTGTTTGTTAACGATTGTCTGAAGCCTCGAATGTATATATCATATGACAGCAGCTTACGTCATAAGGCTACTAGAATGGTATTTTGTTTGTGTTAGCTTTCACTCGAAGCTGTACCTTTATTAATATTTGATTAGAAAACAATGTTTAGGCAACATATTTAAGAAACAACTCTTGAACTATGATTCAAAACTGCATGATGATGCAAGCAGTAAATATAAACAACGTTAAAAAATAAGTTCTGCTTTTAAAGGTTTAGAGAAAATTGAATTTCACATGCTGCTGGTGTAGATTTGAAGCTCACTAGACTGTGTGACTACTGTTTTCTGGTAGACATATGTCTGCGCTGGATAATCTACCGTATCAATAATTCATATGTTTTATAATCTCCGAGAAGACAAGTGTCTGCCGGTTCGCTGTACAGGTACACGTTACAGTCGTGGTACAGATGCTGTGCTGAGGTCATACTCAAAGTATAGTCAGATTTATGGCACAAAGCAAAACTGAAGGGAAAAGAAATAAAAACAAATAAAATACTGGACCACTGGGGATTTTTTTGTAAATATGACGCCATGTTATGAACCTACTGTATATAAGTACTGTTTCCATTCCATCTATTTGACATGTCCATGTTTTCTTTTCCGAACAAATCTTCTAATTTCACTTTCTAAAAAATCACATGTCAAATACAGTAATAATTTGAACGATATCGGCACTGTTGTATATTTAGAACTTTAACTGAGATTTGTGATGGGAAGATCCATCACGTGCGAGTCTAAGACATTTTTTGTAAAGTCAAGTAATTGTTATGATGTTGTTTCTTTGGCAATATACTCTAGAATAAGGATTTTCGGACAGTTAGGATTTATTTCACATTCTTTAAACAATATTAATCTTCATCCCCTCCAAGGTGGTGATAATATATTTTGTAATGTGATCGAGCGTCAGTTTTATGGACCATTTCCGAGATGATGGGCACGACCTATGGCCGGTTCAGACGCTGAAGGAGAGAAATTGTCAGATACTACCCCCAAAGCCCGACTATATACAAATACAGCTCCGGCAATTTGGAACAAAAACGCTATAATTCACCAGCAATGTTTATTAACATGTCGCTAGGATTTCCAAACTTATCAAACATATTTTGTAAATAGAGAAATATGTCTGCAGTAGTATCATTTAGGTACATTAAATTGATTGCTACTCTCTCCTTCATTGGACTCGTTCATTTCCTAAAAATCGTCTGGATGCAGGCAACGAGAAACAGCACTGTGATAATTTATATCTTTAATAAAAGAAAATAATGTCAAGATTCTCAACGTTATTTATCTTATGTTTTATGTAGTTATTCAATAAAATAATTGAAATATCGAATTAATTGGACTGAAAGTAAGATGAAATTGAAAAAGATTCTATTGGAAAGGGGATCAAAGCTTGGCAATAAATTAAGATCGTAGAGGGGAAAACCAAGAGAATGTGTACATTAATCTAAGTTAAAAGTTCTTCATTCTGTTTGATTTCTCTAGATATCAAACTTCCAATTAAGTAATCGAATTACGGTATTATAACCAGGAAAAAACCCAGTACGAAATGTTAACTTAATTACAGATGACTGGAGAGGGCTTACAGCTCGCTTCACGTCAGAGGAAATACAAGATCGGTTATATTGCCGAGCGCGATGTAGGACCGAGGGTTTGAACGTGTATGTATCTCCAGACTAAGACAAAAATACTTTTTTTTGGCAATATCGTAATAACCTTCAATTTTCCGTTTATATAAAGTGAACTCATTTCTCACGGCTGAAACTTCGGAATTGTCTAAATTGGAAGTCTTAGTTCTATGTATTTGAATCATGTTCGTAATGTTGTTTGATGTACAAATAAACATGTAATTATAATATGCAATCGTAGATCGACAACATTTCTATGGATATATAAATATTTATTTATTTTACATCAATTTTGAAAGAAGTTATTTCAATTATATTTATCACTCGGATGTAAGCGCGCGAGGGGTCTTACTGTGGGGAGGAAACCCGAGTACTCCGGGAAAACCCACGTGGTCGGGTATGTGACCCCACTCCTTTCACATCTGTTTCGGGAATCGAACCCCGGATGCCATAGTGAAAGGCGAGTGTGTTACCACCTCACCACCCGACCACCCTTGTATTGATTTTAAGGGATCGTGAGCTAATTTGATAAGTACTGTTCAGTTTGTTACATGTCACATGTATTTGCAATCGTGAATTTTCTGTCATATATCTTTAGACTTGTGTACTCTTTGAACCTTAGGGTGCTGTACAAGAGCTAGGCATGTAAGAAGAATGTTTCCACCAATTAGTTGTGCTTCAGTCTCTTTTATCGTGTACCAGATGGAATGATGCTACATATATGATGGTCTTCTGTCGCAATTCGCCGATAAAACCACAAAACCTAGAAGTTTTTTGTCAGCACGATGTATATTGTAGATATATAGAATGACAGTGAATGAGTGTTATCCCTGGAATAGGTTTCTTAGGTCAGACCGACCAAAAGGACACCAAACGACCCCAACTCACTTCCAATAAAACTCCAGTCGACTTGTATTCTCCAGACACGCGTTTTTGTCGTGCACGCAGTAGTGAGAATATTGGCGATATGGTGTCGTCGAGAGGTAATGCTATGGAAATTCACACGGAGGTATATTGGAACAGTAAATGGGATGTACGCACATTAATGTTGGCCATATGTATTGTATGGTTTGTCCGAAATAACGAATATTCTACTCGTATTCTGAGTAATTGGTGAGATATTTTTTATACCAGGTGAGGTCACAACGATATGTGTTTCCGCCTCGCTGTCTAAATATCCATGTGTGTACGCTACAATACCACTTGATCGTAATACTTCACTATTGATGCTAACAGAACGAACACACAAAGCTGTCTTACTTGCCAGATTCTGTTTCCCAAAGAACACCGACATTAAATTCCATATAACGAGATTGCCCCAGACGGAGCTCCATAGACTTGAGCGCCACTTGAGCCCCACTGGGCCACTAGAGTAATCGGGGGTTCTCGAGCGATGGCGGGCGTGATATAGACTCCCAATCTCGTGTGTCCTACAGTTGCCGTGTTAAAGGCGCCGACTCGACATCATGGCCGACAAAATTCGCCGAGTCTGGATCGTATCAAAGATGACAGAGATTTAATATATAAATATGGAAACGATTTACATCAATATGTTCTCCTTCTCTTGTATTACAGCATTTGTGTAATGTTTTTATCGTTAAAGGGACAGGACCTGCTATTGAAATAATCTGTGTGTAAGGATTTGTCATAGCCGAAATGTCTTGCGTAATGGCTCTACCATTATGGGGAACTCTTACAAGAGATCGATATTTCACGCATGTAAATAAGTGTATTAACCAACAAAACCCCGAATAACGATGATCCAGTGCAGTTACAATTCAGTTACTTTATATCACTTTCTTGGCGGGAATTATTTACGACTTCCGGTTATATACGACTTCCGGATAAAATTAGGCAGATCACATGCGTTGAGAACAATTGGGTTGATTTAGGTAATATTGAATGGGTATGTTGTGGGATTTTTTAAAATATAATGATCTCTGATATTCTGAATTAAAAAAAATACCTCCAGCTCAAATGCGATGTTGATTGTTGTATACATTGATATTAAAAATGTTATTTCCATTTTGTCATTTCAGGTGAAATTCGATGTTATTGCAACGAACCCGGATGTATCAGCACCAGCTACATGTGCAAGTCAGCTTTAGGGATGTGTTACTCTCTGGTCAGTCGAGAAGGGGAGACAAAACGTACAACACAGGGATGTGTAGATTCTTCAGTACATCAAAAACACAACTTATGTAACGGAGAAGTTCTTGAACAGATGAGGGGAAACCGTCCCTCCGAGGAGTGGCCTTTATTGTACTGTTGTAGATACGATATGTGTAATTACAATTATAATGACTATACGGGGAATGTCAATATCGTCATGAATGCTGCTAAAGTCAACAACAGTAGTCGTCATCGAGCAGGTAAAGTCTTTTCCACTATGGATTACCATGTTTCCGTGATGTGCAGTTTGTATATAGGACATCAGTGGACGAATGAGTCCCTTGGTTAACACAAACGGCGGTAATTTCATATATTTTAGAGTTCTGACTTGTATTGATAATCAAAGCTATTATGATTGGTATGATAGTGCTTTAATAGACATGATTTACTCCTTGTCACCAAGAAATCTAGACGAGGCTATATCACGTGTCATATTAAGTAACTCTAACGGTCAAAAAGCCGACAAATAATTATACATCATAACTTGGGTGTAAGCGAGATCAGAGGGCTACATGTATATTTATCTCAATCAAATCGTGGCAAAATCACTACTTCGGACGTCGAAAGTCCGATGGCCCTCGCGGCAAGTCGCGCAGAATAAAGGTTTTAATAGAATATTTTTCATTCACTAATAACTTTGTTAGACCAGGCTATGTATTTCATCGGTACTATTTGTGGAATAGAGAAAATCTGATCCCAGAAAACTCTCTCTCACACATATATACTAAAGTAGACACGTTCATCGGTAACTCAATCTATGAGATGTATTTTATAACACTTTCACATACTAATAGGTTATCTACATTTGTGTTTTATGTTACCGAATTGTGAATTAACTTTAGCGTACACGTAACTGCATCTAGTTATCGCGAGAAAGCACTGCCTCTGTCGTTGGAGAGAGCACGGATCAGAGTGACAGTAATCTGTTCTGATCCTGCAGTGTCGGCTAGCCGTACACGGTCGATTGGAGAGCAGACACACTGACCACAAAACTTCTCTGTTTATTGTCACGGAGTAGAAATGATAATTGGCTGTCCATTAACGTATAATTGTGGTACATAATGGTACGCCAACACAACAGCGTACATACACATGGGTGTCGTTGTACACGTGTACCTCAGTACATAACACATTGTGTAAGGAATGTGTGTTAAAGTGTTGCCACACTCTTTATTTACATATTGTTGATATACTATAATATAGCAACAGACGTCTGAAGGCCGTATGTTATGGCAGAAAGTTTGTGTCGGCTTACAGTGTAATGAGAAAAAACTAATAAAAAATTAAAATGCAAAAATATAAATAAACAAATTCGTCCCGATTACTTTACTCTGTGTCCAAGTTACCAGGAAGAAAGTTGGGTTCTGTTGCCCGGCATGTTGCACGTTCTAACAAAACGACTCTCTAACAGTTAATGTTCCGATAACGAGAATTTGCGAGACATCGCTATTGTGCCAAATATCCTCACACCGCGATTTGTCATTCTTTATGGAGTGTAAATCTTGGTGTCTATTAATTTTATTCTGCACGCGTGATGTCTTCGTACTGTGAACTGATGACAGCTGATAAGTGCGTGCTTCTCAAACCTACTGTCGCGTAAGGATTATGACGTATGCAGTATATGTGTATCTTGACTGACTTTATCGTATCACAATTTAGAAAAGGCGACTTCGTTTATGACTCATCGTTATTTTTTTCGTATAGTTAAGAACTCTCCGGAAGTGACGTCATGTGTTCAGACCTGCCATTACTAGTATAAATAATTATGGAACACGAGAGTAAAAAAGTAATGTTGGTAATGATGTTTAACGTTTGCAATACTAAATTAATTAGTGACATTACGTATGTAATGATGCTAATAACTGATTAGCGAAACGGTGGGTGTATACATTCAGATGACCCCAGGTCAAACAAAATTTCTGATACAAGTGGTCACTTATCGAACAATTTAAGAATGACACAATTAGTTGCTCCTAGGAAACCTTTTGTAATAAACGGTCCCTTCAAAGATTTTATGTGATCGCTTGTTTCTAAAAATAAATCCAAAATAAATGAATTACCATATATATTATGTCCTGGATTATTCACCTTGTTAGGTAATTTAACATTAATATATATTAGAATTTCATTGTTTCAGCTATGTAAATACATACCATTATGTACACATTATAGCGTCTGTTTCTACAACCACGTTTGTGATTCCCAGTCTTTATAAAAGTTAAGAAAATTGTCAGAAGTCATTGGTGTTTTTTTACTGTTTACAAATATCCCCCGAACCGTTATGCTTGTATATCATGATAATACTCCAATTTAATAATTCAATGTAATAAGTTGTTTTTTGTTGTCGTAGGTATCTTCTCATTTGAAAAAGATAATAATTATTTTAAGATTTTAAAAACAACGATTCCCTTACCTATAGCAGATTTAATTTGAATTTTCAATTTTAACCAATGTGAAAAGAAATGTCATTGTTTTACCATTAAACCATTTCATTTGTATTTGACCAGTATTGACAAATGTTGTCATTGAAGAAATCAGCCAACACTTATTTTCACTGAAATCGATATATTATCCGGTAAACGTGACGTGAATATATCGAGAAATCTGCTTCAAGCAGCTCAGAGAAACACACAATATAACGTATCTGTTTGTACTTTTGGGTTTTTCAGGATCATTAAATCCCTGTAAATTTTTTTCACGACCAAGTCAAGTGCTTAATCGAAGCTTTAACTATTTGTGAACCCCTCGAGCTATATCCAGTAACAGAAACATTGTTTATCCTCTTGAATATATTTTGGAAACTTTCCTGTCAACACAGACAGACTAATCCGGATTAAGCTCTGGTTTGACAATTAGAAAACTTACCACCTGTCGTCGGTAACGGTCGGATGGACTCGGTAGATTACGGTGGCTTATTGTTAGTATATTGTGTTCGCTTGATTTAACGCTATAAAGTAAATTTGTGGAGAGGTAGCTATAAACAATAATATGTGTAATTGTAAAAACACTATTAATCAGAGCAAAGAGAAAATAAAATCAATTTGAAAAAAATCTCGCCTACCTTTCTGTCCTCACCATTTATAACATCATGCTGTTTTCGAATTAAGTTCGACTTAAATGGGGAAAATATTACACCAATGACAGGCGTCTGTGGTCCATCTCTTACACTGTTATGTGTTGTAGTGGTTGATGTATAGAAACGATATAGACTAACTTTGCTAACCTCCACCAACTTTGTCTTGCTTCGTTCTGATATGATAAACAATAATCAGACGATGTATATCGACAACTAAATAATATTTAAGTTTAAAACACAAACAAAACCCTTTTGTGATCTCTTTTTCTGTGTACGAAGTCCCGAGATATCTTAAATGTTTTTGAATTTTGGAAGGTAAGGCCCGATTAGTAGCACTCAATTCTTCTTCGTTGCTATTTACATGTTATAAAGGCAGACATTTTATATTGATAAAAAATGATTCCGTATCCGTTCCATGGAAAACCAGACCCGCGTTACAGGTAGGAAAATTATCTGTCTTTTCTACTGCATTAATGCCATTTTGATGGTTATCATGTGATCTTTCCATGGAGAGAATGAATTTCGCAGCAACCTTCGTGCAGATTTCATCAAATTGAATAATTTTTTCGACAGCCGGAGTCTGATGGTAGGATTTATGTATTTGTTGTATACTACACGTACGTGCCATAATTGTTTTACACATCAGATGCTTACAATGTCGAATACAGTTCGCATTTCTAAAAGTCTTTATGATTATTACACATTAACCTTGAGATCAGAACTTTGTCGTACAGACCTTTACATATGGTATAAGACTACATCAAACATTCTTTAGTTTTGTTAGTATTCGGGGCGGCTTTCGATAGATATATGTATGTAAGGAAATCATGGCTTGTTGTACCTATATAACAATCACTTGCTCCTTATTATTAACAAACATTTGTTGAGGGAATGCTCTTGAAGGCTTTTAAATAGGCTACAGGTATTGGAAGGTAAAACACGTGTAATATTAAGAAAATGAGTAAAGCGTTGCCGGTGTAGCTTTTGCTGGGCTGAAACAAGTGCCCATATCTCAAAATGTGCATAGTGTATTCATGTGGGTCCTTCAAAGGTTTCTGGGTTTAATCTAATGTTCATCGAGGTTTATTTACGAGCATATTTTATGACTTGTGGGCGGAGGTATTTTCTGTGTAGTAGTAATAGTTACGATGGTACAATATCATTAACTCAAAGTTTCAAAATCATGTGCAACTTATAGTGTGCTGGCGTATTGTGGCTACACAGTGGATTACTGTACTTATGTTAACTACTGTACCTGTGTTAACTGCATTGTATTTGGAACATCCAAGAGGGTTATTATATATATATATATATAGTACATTGTATTACTGATATCGGAGTGGGTTATTGTACGTGAATAAAGTATATTGTGTAAGGCGCATCTGGCATATAGATATTAGAAAGTTCCATGTATACTTTTGTTTTAACAAAGCTGTGGATACAATTTCGATATTCATTAAATGATCGTATGGTTTAAGTAGAAGTAACGGGTTTATACCCAGCCTCTTCTGGCAACAAAAATCTCTCGTTTTCTTCTGATCAAAACAATAGCCGTTAGGAGGGTTCGAACCCTTTATCTTAAGATTTTAAGCCAATTATAGAAGTAAACTGGTCGACAGGATACGTGATACGGCAGACGACACCAATTATCATGATTTAATGTTGATCCGACCATGTGACGCCTAGGCGGGTGCGAGCTCACGTGCAATCTGTTTCCGATGCCAGTCTGACCATCATATGACCTCGGTGGTATCATTAACCATTGTACTAATCCCTTGCTTTGTCTCTGGTCTCAATGTCGCCAAGAGCCATGAAATATCGATGATTTGGTCGCCAACGGTAGTGTTATAATGAAGCCCATTATCTTTCACATCGATCGGTTACACAGCTGCCGTAATGAAATTACATATTCACACTTAATGAAGGATTAATATTTCATAAATAAGCGTCATTTCTCTTCACAAAAACCGAAGATGTCAGACCGGTTGTCTACAAAATCGATCGATTTCCAGACAATATGGCGGCTTGGGTCCGCAGCAACCTTGCAACCTCCCACGACAGCGATATCTGTTGAGGTCATGAGGGACTCTCTAATGAACGGACCGAACAAAATCGATGTATCCGGAATATGACAAGGTTGACTACATCTTGTTCGGCGACTGTTTGTCTCATAAGACAATATATACACATTTATCATCTTAACTAGTAAACTGCCGTAACATCTACTAACTAATAACATCAATTTAGTGAAACACTTTTTACACGTGAAATTCGCCGATACAGTAAGTGCTCTCTACTTATCGCCAATAAGACACCCTTGAGTTCACGAGGAACCGAGGGGGGAGACCGGTGTTATGTAACTGGGAACAGCATGCATGTGTTTCATTTACTGGTAAGCTCCTGACGGCAAGAGAGGAATCCAAAATCCTCAAGTCGCCGGGTCAATTAGACTGAACCAGACCCAGGAGCGATCAAAGCGCCATCACGGTCGTGCCAATTACTGAAGTACTTTATGATAGGCGTGGTAGAAGAGAAGACCTACCCATTTTCATGTTTTTAGGCCATGGACATGATTTTAGAATACCGCTGTCATCTCAATGACATCATTGTCGATGAAACATGGAGACATTTAAGCACTTTAACTAATAGTGTTCTGTCTGTGTTTCCCAAGTACACACTCTCCACGGGATTTCTATATCAACTCTATGTCTATGTATATGCGGTGCCTACTGTCCTACGTAAAAAAAGCTGTTAATCTCTGCCATATACTACATTTATATATTTCGCTTTTCACTTTTCTTCATATTACATGCCATTTATTTCATTAATTCAGTTTTAACTTCCAAATTATTCTGCGGGTCATTAATATATTTCAAATTTCATATTTTTCAGTTGACAAAGAGCTGAATATGGTGGCGCCCCCTGGAGGTCACGTACCTTATGCTATTCCGGATTCTGATGACCGGAGCGGTGAAAGTGATTTGTGGTTTAAAGCAGCCGTAATCGCTGTCCCGATTGCGGGAGGATTTATTCTAATTTTATTGGTGCTTTTAGCTGTACGCATGCTCAGAACAGATTCAAGACGACATAGACAATTAATTCAATTTAGACGCGAGAGAACTAGCTTAACAAAAGCACAGTTATATGTGACAGACCATTTTAGTGAAAAGACAGAAAAGAGCTCATCCTCTTCTATGTTTGGAGAAAACCATAACACATTATGCAAAGATGTTAACGTTAAGATGGACAAGGACGGAAAAGTGTACGAACAAGTCTGCCCAGAACAGTCCAAGTCAAAACGAACTCGTCCATCAATTGTTATATGGGGAAAACCTCTCCAAACTGATTTTGCTACAGTGGTATAGCACAGATATTGTGATAAATGTTCAAATGTGTCTACTTGTGAGAGTGAAAGTTGAGTGTGATCACGTGATTAAATGGATGTGAAATATATATATATATCAAAGTTTAGAGAGATCAGTATGTTAATATGTATCAATGTGGAAGGTGAGAGGTTATATGATACAGGATGACCAAGGTGTTCGGTTCAATGTTAAAAGCCTGAAAGTGTGTAAATGGGACATACATGTCAAACATGGACTATAAATGGTTCTTTTTGGACATTGGTGAATTGTTTTGGACATTGGTGAATTGTTTTGGACTATGGTCGATCAAATCAACTGATGTCCTTCCAAAAGCGATGTTTTGTTGAATACACGCATGCACGTAGTATTTTGGTGTGTAGTTCTGTGAGTATTTAGTGAAATATGTGAAGCTCTAAGTGAGAAATTTTAACTGTCGCGTAAAACATGTGAAACATGTATGTGTGTTATTATGTGGGAATGCTCAATACAGAGTCTAAATGTGTCAGAAATTTGTCATGTGGAAGTGCAGTCCGTGTTTTACATCACGCCTTTGAAAAAGTCTAGCCCTTTAGATCCTCGCGCCTTTCCGAACAAAAAAGGTGGAAAAGCCCGAGGATTTCCGATTGCCTCATTGAGATTGGAAGAGAAGTTTTGTGATTCACGGACTGGAAAAGAAGATAAAACCTCGTTATATCGACACTGTTGCACAATGTGGTGAAAATATACACGCATTTATTGATTTAAGAAAAAAGAAGATAAGAAAACATCGCATTAAGCGAAGTGACAGTAAAGCGAGGTTTTGTTCTATATTTCAACCTGCTCCTTCATGGTAGAATTTTCAACCTTCACATCAGACACACCCATTTCTTAAAGCGGAGCGAGAGACCTTTAGGGAATGGTGTGTTCCTTAATGGGAATCGTGGGGTAATACTTATTTCAGTATCTAAATACTTCAAACAGTTCAAGCAGTATTTACTTACTTTAGATAACCAGTGTAGTGTAACCCTTATTTATTAATTTTAATAAATAATATAAACAATGTTACAACATTTGAATAAAGTTCATTTGCCCAGTAGTGATATTTTCTGTTCTGAATAGCAACGCTCCTGCATCCCAAACCATTTGGTTTGCATTTGATATTCAAGGACATGTTCCCATTATCATGGTTTTCGTACAAGATATTGGCAAGTGAAGACTCGAAGCACAGGGCTTCAGATGATGCAGGTTGATTATGGGATGATCTTACTGTCATTATGATCTCACCATATTCTATTTCTATGTTCACACCATGTATACCTTGTTCTCCTTCGAGAACGTGTCATTACTTATTGGATCGATCAAGATTTACATGGAAGGTGTCGTCGATGAATTAGAAGACGCGTACTCTTCCGGAACACATTTTTCATGTTTCTTTTGCTAATATTTTGCCAAAGTTTCATCGTATTTGTGTTGAAAAACGATTCCGTTTTCATGTCAGTATTTTCTCTGTCATTTTAAAAACTTCATTCTGATATTGTTATTGACAGAATTGTCAGGGGAGATGGTTTTATTCAGATTAGGATTATCTACCATGAAGGTGTTAGGTGGCGTTGTACGATGTTGTGTGTCGTTGTTTGTTACTATTGTGTGTGGTCATATTTTCATGGACTACAAAATTATTATGTTATATTTGAAAACACTTCTATTTATTTCTTTCAAAATAAAATTTGAAAAATTAAGACATAGAAAAAGGCGTTTACTTTTTATTTTAAGACGACAGCTCGTGTATTAGAAGACCACCTATTTCATGCGTCTGTGCACAGGAAATTTTAAATGATGCAGTACTAAAAGTATTTTTAATGAAATAAATAGGCCTACAGCAAAACTCTTGATGGAAACTATAATGCTGGGGAACCTTATGTGAATGTTGGTTTGTTGGGATCTATAAACACTAATCATACACCTTATAGCAGTTACAAAGACCGCGTCTCATAAGTCACATTTTCGTATTGTAGAAAGGACTATCTGAATTTTAATTGCCTTTGTGTAATAACTGTCATTTTCCTAGTCATCGTCGCCACCGTCGATATCATTGTGAAATCTAAAATTGAATTGGTAAATCATATCCATCAAACTATCAATTTTTACTTTAGAACGAAAATCATTTTTGTCATATTTTGGGCCACAGCATCAACAATAAAACCTTTTAAGTGCCTTTCTTGTTGTTAACATAAGACAATTTATTTTATCTGATATTTCATATCATTTTATGCACCATACAAACTATATTCCCCGAACTTTGAACTTGATATATAGAAAATATAATTTGATATTATGTAAAGAGTAGTCATTTTAAGACCACTGACTTGTTCATGTCGACCATATCTCAAGATCTCGCGTCCCGCGAGAACATCATAATAAAACGTTGACCTTTCACGACCACCGATTTTTCTGATTCGTCTCTGCGACGGTCGACCGGAAGCGGATTCACAAATGACGTCAATGTGATTTTGTTTTGACACTATATCATTTCGGGGCGTTTTTAACTCCACCGAGAACGCCATTAAAATATTTCTATTTAACGTCATCATTTTCACATAATTTTGATGGTTAGAATATATATTCAAATAAATAAATAAATAAATGCACAATTACACGTAACTACAGCGTAAAATCACATGATAAATATTTCAGATGTTTGTTGTTTTAAATAATTTATTTATATCGCCGAGAATAACTATGAAGCTAGTTATCACACAGGCTACGCTTGCACGATTTCCTAACACAGAAAAAAAAACATAATAAATGGTTATAAAAGGGGGTTAATAGAGAGTTAAAACTGTCATATCTCAAGTTGATTAATATGTGACGACGGAATCTGTAGTCATGGTGTCTAGGAGATAGGATGTTTGTGAGGTCAGAGTTATATGTTTAAGTTTGATGTATGAGAGGTTTACCTATCATTGCCTTTAGGTAGAGAAACCTGTTACAGGATATCATCAATGATAGTTATTACAAATATATCCGGTTATGTTCCCTTTAAACAATGTAACGTGCTACATTTCTACTTAATTTACACATCAAATATTCTCACACCTTCTTAAACCTGTATCAGTCCGTGAATTATGATCAAATATTTAATAACAGATCAAGCCTAGACCCGAAGAGAATATATTTCTACATACATTGTACACTCATTGTACATATACATTTTATAATTATAGTACATACAAACAGTACATACAAAATGTACATGAACATTATCCATGCACATTGTATATATACATTGTACATACAAATAATACATACACATGGACATAAAGATTGTATATATATACATTGTACATACAGATTATATATACATTGTACATACAAATAATACATACACATGGACATAAAGATTGTATATATATACATTGTACATACAGATTATATATACATTGTACATACAAATAATACATACACATGGGCATACAGATTGTATATATATACATTGTACATACAGATTATATATACATTGTACATACAAATAATACATACACATGGACATACAGATTGTATATACACTTGGTTTACATCCGTTGTCAATTAGCTCTCGTCAACATCCGGCGTCAGCAAGCTCAGGCCTACATCCGACGCCAACAAGCTCGTGTCTACATCCGACGCCAACAAGCTCGTGTCGACATCCGACGTCAGCAAGCTCCCATAAACATACGACGCCAGCAAACTCCGGTCTACATCCGACATCAGCAAGCTCTCGTCAACATCCGGCGTCAGCAAACTCCCGTAAACATGCGGCGGCAGCAAACTCCGGTCTACATCCGACATCAGCAAGCTCTCGTAAACGTCCGAGGCCAGCAAGCTCCCGTCAACATGCGACACCAGCAAACTCATGTCTACATCCGACGGCAGTCAGTTCCCGTCAACATCCGACGTCAATAAGCTTTCGTCAACTTCCCTCCTCAGGAAGCTCAGGCATACATCCGACTTCAGCAAGCTCCCGTCAACATGCGACGTCGGTAAGCTCTAATCTACATTAGACGTCAGTAAGCTCTAGTCTACATCCGACGTCAGTGGGCTCTAATTTACATCAGACGTCAGTAAGCCCCCGTCAACATGCGACGCCAGTAACCTCTCGTCTACAGCCGACGTCAGTGAGCCCCCGTCAACATGCGACGTCTGTAAACTCTCGTCTTCATCAGACGTCAGTAAGTTCTTGTCTACATCCGACTTCAGCAAGCTCCCGTCAACATCCGACGTCAGTAAGCTTTTGTTTACATAACACGTCCGCAAGCTCCAGTCAACATGTTACGCAAATTAACTCATGTTCTCATCAGACGTCAGTAAGCTGTAATTTACATCAGACGTCAGTAAACCCCCGTCAACATGCGACGCCAGTAAGCACTCGTCTACATCATAAGTCAGTAAGCTCTAATTTACATCAGACGTCAGTAAGCCCCCGTCAACATGCGACGCCAGTAAGCTCTCGTCTACATCAGTTGTCAGAGAGCCACCATATGCATACAACGTAATTAAATGGCATCTAAAAATGTGGTACTTGTAAGCTCCCACATATCTTGCTTGTAGCAAGTTTTTTCTGTGAGCTTGTACGCGCTTTATCTTTCCGTCTTCTTCACGGCTAATGACACAAATATGTATCCTCGACAAGTGGGAAAGCAGACACAGTCACCAGTAGTTCCTTCCAATAGTAGTAACCTTGTTCAGACAGAAAGTTTCTCCACGTGGAGTAAAGAGATGTTTTGATGAGAGGGATTGATATAAACCAAAAAGTCTTTTTTACAATCTTTACTTCATATTGTACATTTGTATCAGTGCTCAGTAAATGTTGGACGGATATGACCTCTCTAAAGCATGGTTAATCGTACACGGGATTTGTTACTTTTGTGTCTCAATATTTTTAGTACAATAGTTTGCAGTATTTTTTTCCATAGTTTTCCCATCAATATTTTTCTACTTCCTGTTTCATCTACTTCCTGTTTCATCTACTTCCTGCATTACGATGTCGAATACATTAGTATGCCTTTATAAAGGATAAATATTAAAACTAAAGAAGTTTTACTTCCTCTGTTGAATTTGTTAGTAGTATCAAATGCGCGGCTGCTCCCTAGTCAAATGGCATCACATCTCGGAAACAAATCTTATCATACACTGAATATCTCATTACCTTGTCTCGCCATTCTATTTTCAAGCATTATTGGAAACACAATACATTATTGATATTCAGATAAATTAAACATCATCACAGTCGTCTGAAATATGTAGTATTCATATAACTTTGGGACAGCTGGTACTCGTATGTATTAACAATGCAATTCGTCTCCGGTGCAGGCTTGCGTGTACTATGAAGACTTGGGATCTCCTGTTCAGGCTTGTGTCTCCTGTTCAGGCTTGTGTCTCACATGTGGACTTGCGTCTCCTGTGCAGGTTTGTGTCTCATGTGCAAGCTTGCGTCTTCTGTTCAGGCTTGCTTCCGCTGTTCAGACTAGCGTCTACAGTGCAGGCTTGTGTCTCATGTACAAGCTTGCGTCTTCTGTTCAGACTAGCGTCCCCAGTTCAGACTAGCGTCTACTGTGTAATTGAATACACTAAACATCGCATTTCGTAACAAATGTCATAGCCTGATAGCCCCTATGAAGTCCAGTGGTTTTCAATATGGAGTGCGAATTTTCGAAATGCACTTCCAATATTGTAGTCATCTAATGTGGGGAACATTGTTTTACCAAACAGATATTCAGAATTCTAATTTCTTACGATGATGCTGACCTGTTCCTGACAGTTTTGTTTTTCAAATATTTATACATTTCTCAGTTTTGAATTCAATGTAACATGACAATTCATACAGAAATGCTGTCAAAATTTCATAGAAAAATGGAAATTTTACTGAAAGTTTCGAGAACCTAAAATTCAAATCAATGTTACATGTTTTGAGAGATGATGTCAAATTTTCTTCAAGGAGATTTTTTAACATTCAAATTCTTTTGTTTTGCATTTAATTGCATTTTGGCACGCGTTTCCCTTGCTTCTTTGTCAACGTAGAACGCGCCCACTGAGGAAGTCACTCGCTCGTAGATGTCATCTTCCTCGGAAGGCGTCAGAAACACACTCAAACTACAACAGAGAAATATGGCCGGATTACTGGCTCTGAATGACAGATAAACTGACATTATATCTTGATACTTTTTGTTATTATTAAAGTATTCGATATAAAGAATGTTTCATATTCTGCTAAATACTCCACTTGCGCAGAAATTACCTACCGAACAATAAGAGATTTATTACTGAAAATTAAAATATCACAACAGCATATATTTATGTGTCTACTTACTGGAAATTCGCGATGAAAATTTTGATTTTAGTAATTTTCATCCTTTAATAAATCAGGATGAGAGGAATATTAAATAGAAAGACAAACTGAATCAGAGATTACGCTTGAAATCATGAAGTTGTAAATATCACAAGGCAACAACCATATCACATAATGTATGATGTCATTTTGATAATATGAAAACAAGGATCACAGCCAATGGAATTATTCAAGTTTTAGGAGTGGTGGGTGAGGTGGGTGGGGTTGATGTTGGAAATAACAGTACTTTTTAAAATTAATTCTCTTTAGTCTATTGAATTTTCGTCGTAAATGCTGATTCTGTGGTCCGGTTGTCTCCCTTGACAAATTGGTGTATAATGTTTCGCGGTAACGGGA